TCCGAATTTTAGGAGGCTCTCTAAAGCTCTCCAAGCTCTCCAAGCTTCAGAGGTGGTTGAAACTTGGAGATTCCCGCGGTTTGGGATCAGCGCATGCGAACTAGGCTAAAAGCCACGTGTTGATCATGAGTGTACGCATTTCCCTTTTCGCATACGCACAGCACATACTATATTCGTGGCACTCAAGATCGCGGCCCCTTTGGCGCTTCATTTTGCTTGACATCTGCAAAATATCTCCGATTCTCGCACAGCGATAAGCCACACTCGCTACACACCAAACAACAGCACATTTGTATTGCGGTTAGGAGGGCCAGAAGTGTGACACCACGTTCTTTTACATGGAAGGATGCGGAATTGTAGAATAGCGGAAGAAGGGACAGAGCACATGGATATTCTGTGAAAGCAACGCAATGGCAGCAACTGAGAGAGCAATGACCGAAAACCAGAAGCACCACTTGGGACCGTCAGATTAATTCGTCTGGGCCGAGCCAGCCGGGAAAAAACCCTCGCGCCGACGGACGCATTATTTTTTTGAGGGAAAAAACCGGGTGTAAAACCCCAAGTGGCTAATCTGACAAGTACAAAAAGCAGGGAGGGAGGGTGGGTACCTCAAGACGACTGGCCAGTCGTGCTCATGCGCAGCGGTTTAGAGAACATGTGAAGATGTACGAGTAAAAAAGAAATTGATCAGATGACTGCTCACTTGTGAGAAAAAACACGAGAAAAAACCGCTGTGACGAGAAAATACTTCTCGCCTCTGTCGCTGCGCTCTGCCGTCGAGAAGATACCAATTCTTCGAGACCCGTTCTTGAAGAATCCCAGTTTCTTCGACTTCTCTTTTCTTCTTCTCCTAGAAGCTGGAGAATTTAAGAACGCACCCTTAGAAATAAAAAAATTGTGGGAATTAAAATAAAAAATCGCTCGCTCGCACCGATTTTCACAGGCTCATGACCTGAGAATCAACTTTATTTTTTACCATGGCCTTATCTGTCACGTCGCGAGTATGGTCCTGCTCACAGCGCCTAGCTGGCTCTTTTTTTTAGCAGGGTTGATGAGCTTTGCTACTTCAGTAGTACCTCGTCGTTCTATCGCCTTGCCCCTGTTGCACTGCGGAGTTTATCTGTCACGTCGCGGAGTATGATCCTGCTCACAGCGCCTAGCTGACTGGCTCTGCGAGCAGAGGAAACGTCGGTTCTTGTCCCCATGGCCCAGCCTAGCCAGGGTTCACATCTATTTTGTGTAAAAACTAGTGGTGTGCACGGGTAGTCGGGTACCCGTGCTACCCGTGAGGACCTCGGGTAGACGGGTACCGAATAGTACCAAGAGTACATGAAAACCAGAGTGTGCAGCTCGGATGGGTTGCTGTCACGGCGAAATTCCGTGATTACATCATTTTAGTGATGTAGTGCGTACAAGCAGGATTCAAGCAGGTCTTCATGTACTCTTGATAGTACCCGAAAACCCGAAGTCGCAGATGACATCATGTACAGTGCACGTGTACAAAATTTAATTCACGCATGTCTACCCAGTGCGCAAGGGGAGGGGCCGGTGTGTATTGTGGTCTTACCATGGAAACATTACCCGATCGGGTACCCGTGCTACCCGTGGAAAGCTACCCGGACCCGATACCCGAAGAAAAATGCTACCCGACTCAGCCCTAGTAAAAACCAGGGAGTCGTAAAACGAGAGAGCTTGGAAGCTCAGGGCCCTACGCTATGCTTTTATGCCTTTTTGCCTAGCTCATCGTACATGTTATAAGAACTAATGGAAATGTCTTTTTCCGTTGATTGGCCACATCACTGTATTGCAAAAACGTTTCAATCGGTTTCAATATTATGAGTTAGGCAAAAGTATTTGCAGAATTTATTGCGGATTGTTATTTCTCTAATAATCATCTACTTTTGGTTTGTTCCTTCTTTTCTTGTTATCTCCTTATACTGTTAATCAACAAATTTTGGCCGATGAGAAATAGAAACCTCTCTATGAGAGAGGTTAAGATGCACGTTATTTCCGACGTGACGCGCAATTTCACGTCAAATTTGAAACCGATCGGTATTTTTGCTCTCTCATGCATCCATTGCTCAATCATGCATCATTTCCCTATATGACAAACTTTGGCCTGCGATTTACTTTGGCCGGTTGGTACCAAGCGGCGAAATCAGCGAAATTAAATCGCCAGCGAAAATTAGTTGATTTTAATACAGTAATCGGATTTTCTGGCCTTTTTGTAGTAATACATGTACATTGACCTGTAGAGCCAATGACTTCGCCGATTGCTTGGTTGCCTGTGGAGCACATTACATAACTTTACTGACTCCTAAAATACGTATCCTGTCCGACGGCAAAAGAGGCTGCAGATTTAGTTTTTCTGCGCGTCGACGGGATGTCTGCGACGCGAAAGTTCAGCTCGCGTTATTTGGCTCGCACGTCGAAAAATCAACGCGAGCGACCTGCTGCTCACGTCGAAATTTGGACATTACATAACTTTACAGTCTCCTTTAATACGTATCCTGTCCGACGCCAAAGGAGGCTGCAGATTTAGTTTTTCGGCACGTCGACGGGATGTCTGTCCTGACGTTTACTGGGACCGGCGCTGACTCTGCCGATCACGGGCGGTCTGGACTCGACGGGATGTCTGTCCTGACGTTGCCTGGGACCGGCGGACTCTGCCGATCACGGGCGTTCTGGAGTCGACGGGATCTCTCTTCCGGCGTTTCCTGTGACCGGCGCTGAATCGCTCGTTCACGCTTATTTTGGAGACGACGGGATCTCTCTTCCAAAGTATGTTTATGCTGACGCATCCTATCACCTATTCGGCATCTAATCTAATTTAATTTCCTCCTCGTCTCCCTATTTCTTTCCAAATCTCCCTCTACATCAGGGAGTCGTATACATAATACGACGAATATTGGTACGGTACGGGACAGATACAGGAGCCGGCAAATATTGTGGACAGCTGTTATGTACAATCCTGTAGAGCCTTTGTAGTCACAGATACGGGACAGATACGGGATAGCTCCAGCCGTGACACAAACAAACAAACAAACAAACAAACAAACAAACAAACAAACAAACAAACAAACAAACACCAAATTAAAGCTGTGTGGACCCTGGCTAGCGCCAGACGTTACTGAAGTAACGTCTTCTGCATAGCTACGGGAATTAATACCATTTTACGACTCCCTGGTAAAAGCTACAGTAGAAAGTGATCATGTCATGTGAAAAGTGGAACCAACATGGCCGACTTCATGTGACCCACAGATAAGATGCAGTACAGGAGTTGAGAAGAGTTGGAACCAACATCCCTGCCCTGTGTGGTCATGTGAAACCACTCTTATGGCCAAGTACTGCGCTTTCTATACTACTGTAGGACGGTCAAGGCGACGGTTCGGGCCGAGAAGCGGAGCGCGTCCAAGTCTATGGCTGACGCCCTTCGCTCGGATCACCGGGAGCTGGCCCCTGTTCTCGACCTGGCCTCAGAAAAGGGTGCATCCAGCTGGCTGACCTAGTACCTGCCGCCCCCTCAGCCGCCATGGTTTCACACTCAGCAAGGGAGAGTTCCGGGATGGCCTGTGCCCCCGGTACTGCTGGACACCTCCTCGGCTCCCAAGCCTCTGCGTGTGCAGTAAGCCGCTGAATGTGAGTCACGCCCTGTCGTGCCCGTTTGGTGGCTTCCCGACGCTGCGACATAACGAGGTGAGGGACATCACCGCCATCGCTCTAAGGCAGGTCGCTCACAACGTGACAGTGGAACCCCACCTCCAGCCCGTCACCGGAGAGGCCTTCCGCCATCGCACAGCTGTCACGGAGGAGCAAGCTCGGCTGGACGTTGCGGCTAGTGGTGTGTGGGGTGGCCGATTCGAGCGCATCTTTATTGATGTACGGGTGTTCAACCCTTTTGCGTCTTCGAATCGTGCCACCTCCCTCGCTGCTAGCTACAGACGTCATGAACAGGAAAAGCGCCGGAAGTACGAAGAGCGAGTACGCGAAGTTGAGCATGCCGATCCTTCGTGCCCGTTGTGCTTTCTGCCTCTGGTGGCTATGGGCCTATGGCAAGCATGCCAATGCTCTTTTCACGCGGATCGCCTCTCTCCTGGCTGAGAAGAGTAATTAGGAGCCATACGGGCAGATTATCTCCTTGCTGCGCTGCCGCCTTGGGTTTGCCCTGGTGCGTTGTGGTGCTATGTGCCTGCGTGGCTCAAGGAGCATGTTTGCTCCTCCCGTGCCGGAGTCCCCTGCTGTGCTAGTGGCGGCGGAGGCACGCATCCAGTGAAGCTGCAGTGATTTTACTGAGTGACAGACTCTGTATAATAGTCATTACTGTATCTGATGATTCGTTTTATGTAATTGTGTTGATTCTTCACAAAATGTGACTGAACTCACACCCAGGCACATCCTGTAAGAGTTCACGCAACTCGGTGTCACTGCGTAACACAATTATTTCACTGCTTCAACTCTGTCGTTCTCACCGTTACACACACCCACAAACTCATCGCAAGTCAAAAAAGGGGTACGAATTCAATGTCCATGTCTCTGTCATGTGTGGCGATGGCCTGATAAGGAGCCATGGTGATACTACGATTGTCAATCAGATTGCTTTAAAATGAATGATGCCGCTGCACTGTCTGTGACACCGTGCACGCGTGAGAAGTCAAGCACAATACAGTGAAACCTGTGACTAACGACCACCCCTTGGGGCCATGCCATGGCCAGAGAAAGCGGTCTTTAGTGGCAGGTGGTCCTTAGTTAGAGGTTTACACCGCACAACCATGATGATATGAATGTGAGACCCTCCGATCCGTGCCTGGCAAAGTGGTCTGTAGTACCAGGTTGGTCGCTAGTCACGGTGGTCTTTAGTTACAGGTCTGACTGTACACAATTCTCATGCAAATACATGCCCATGGATATCGAATTCGAACACATTCTTACACTAGATAGTGCGGCATGTCAGCTGCCTTCATCTTCATTTAATTACTTGGCTTCCAGTAGGCACCCACATCTGAGAAATCCTACCTCAAGTCGAATTTCTAAAAGGCAGATGTTAGGTCAGCTGAAGCTCGCCGAGCAAGCCAGCTAGCTGCTGCTGGATAAGAAATTAATAACGTGCAGAGTCGGATTATCATGATAGTACAATTCGACCACCAGTAGTGCAGTGGCAACTGTGTCGTGACTCGTAAGTTCTCGTAGCAGCTGAATTGCGATGCTACACTCAATGCCCTGCGCCAATAGGCTCTGGGTACTACACCGGGCCGGGCCCGGGCACACACGAACAGCATAGTGAGTCAAATTTCACGCCGGTACAGCCAGGTAAGGACATGTAGCTGATAACTGTGTGTGAGTTGTGTTAGGTAGTCCCACCAGCACTATAAGTGTGATGAGCGAGAGCAGTTCGGTGGCGCGCAAAAATAAAATCGTGTATAAAACCAAAAGTCCTGGCAAGAAGAAGAAGAGCAGACTGCGCAGCACTCAGTGCACACATTGCAATGCACTGCCGGCAGGTGACATTGCACACTGTACATCAGGGAGAATTCTTAAAATACCGGTATTTTAGTACTCCCTGATGTACATTGTACAGCAGGAAGTACTCCCTGGTGTACAGTGTGGTCCAAACTGAAGTGCAGTATCATTCACAGTGACCCTAACGGCCAGTAGGTAGTACAGCTGTAGTGTGCAGCTCCACTCAACTGTCTGGAGAGCAGAGTGGCAATGTCCGTGTGCACAACCAGTCTGCAATGCAGCTGAGCTGCATCCTGTGCAGGGGTATGCTACCAAATCGGCAGCAGCAGCTTGGGATCAGGTACTGATGAGCTACTGGTGCCGGTGGAACACAGGTGAAGAAGAGTGCACGCTTCAAGTGCATGTACAACCAGGGGACAGGCTCTGCACTGTATCTCGAGTGGCGGGCGAAGAATCCGGGCGCTCATACCGCCAATCTCATCTCTAGGCCCTCTCCATTGGTGGGAATGCATCCATGCCACTCTCGCAACCGATTCTGCAGCGTCATCTGGCCTTTGAGAGTACAGCCCTTATAAAGTTGGCAAGTGGCAAAACCGACACATACGGTAGATGCACCTATGTGAGTAGACCAGTGTAAGAAACAATTGCGCACTAGCTGGTCACCACACACTAGCTGGTCACCACACACTAGCTGGTCACCACCCACTAGCTGGTCATCACACACTAGCTGGTCACCACACACTAGCTGGTCACCACACACTAGCTGGTCATCACACACTAGCTGGTCACCACGCACTGGCTGGTCATCACACACTGGCTGGTCATCACACACTAGCTGGTCATCACACACTAGCTGGTCACCACACACTAGCTGGTCACCACACACTAGCTGGTCACCACACACTAGCTGGTCATTGCGAACTAGCCAGTCATCGTGCACTACGGTTGATCTTGTCAGACCAGAGCATTGCTGTAGTGTAAGATGGCTTGTTCTCAAAGCAAATATTCCAGAGCTGCTGGGCATCTGGAGAGCATGGACACCGTGTCCAAACTGATGCTGGTGTCCTCATCCCGAAGTCATGGCTGTCACATTGGCTCTTGCTCACTTCAGCATATCAATGCAAAGCCAACCTGCTGGTCTGCGCACAAATCATGTGCACACTACCGTGGATAGGTTGATCACCAGAGACCTACAAGAAGTAAAGGAAACAAAAAAAAAAAACAGGTAAAGCAATTCGGGTTTCGAACCCATCACCACAGCACAACATAACACAACTAACAACCCATGCTCGTTCACCATAAAGTGAAAATGTAGCATTCTGAGAAGTACACAGTGCGCATACCTGTACAGTGCTGTGCGAATCACTCCGGAAGAGAGGCTGCCTTCACTCTGATTGTACCGTCATCGGAGATATCCACATCCATGCCCATTTTGCGCAGAAGACTAACATCCGCCGAGCCTTGCTTCTTGAGGTTTGCAATCACTGTTTGGTTTCCACGGTGATTTTCGCACGCATTGTGAATAGCTAGAATTGACCACTGGCCAAGGTCTGATATTGCTGATTGTCAAAGAAATAACTCGGCAGAAAGCATGGAAAACATCACTCCATTAATCAATTTTTTCTTCAGACTTTTCCCGTTTGCGTCTTTCCCTCAAACCGGTGAATAACCACTGAACAACATAAATGCATACAACTTGACTTGTCTGAGGGTTGGGCAAACCTACAGCAACGCATGATCTGGCTCTTTCTGGGTGGTGCGAGAAGCGTACAGTAGGAAAGAGAATTTTTCCACAGAAATAGAGAGCGAAAGGGAGTGGGAGGGGGGGGGGGGGGTAGAGAACGATAGAGCCTGACTATTGAGGAGGATACATGGATTACAGTGATCCACGCGGCAATTGTTCAGCAGCACAGACATGCCTTCCTCGGCGCATAGCTACAATGCACAGACACAAACACAACAGAGTACAGATGCTTGAAGATGCACAGTTACCACGGGAAACAAAATGGCCATCATCTTTCTCCATGCGCCAGAAAAATACAGGGCATTAAGTTGGAAGATAGGCCGAAGTTGATTTGTATATTGTATTTTGTATAAATTTCACGGAGTCTCCACAGGCCTTAGCCTAAATCGAGGGAGTCTCCGTGATTGGACAGTTCTGATGGCAGAATAGAGAGAAGGGCGTTGTTCACAAGATCCAGTATGCATGTAGATAGTAGTGCTGTGGATGACCAACTGCTTAGTATTATGCATATCCAATGATTCATGTTCCCGCCAGATCCCGCTGTTTGGCACGTGTGAGTGCTTGTTTTCCCGCCAGATGCTGCTTTTGGCACGTGTATGTGCCGCGTTTGGGCACCGCACGGAGTAGGTTTGGTTCTGTTGTGTTTTGGTGCTGCCGTACTTTTCTTCAGGGCTTTTTCTTTGTTTTGTTACGTTTTTGATATCGTTCCATCAGGTTGAAGAAACAGAAGATTCAGTTGTCTCCCAAATCGCTCTCTTGGTCTTGTAACCAAATTGGTAGCAGTTCGGATGGTTTTAAGAGATAGTTTTGAGCGATTAGATGGAGAAGTCAGTTTTGTCGGAGCAGTCCGACGGCACGCCTGCGATGGCTGAAGAGTATTCGGTTTCGGGAGGAGCTGCGCCGGGGGAGTTGTCAAAGGACGACCAGGCCGCCAGCTCGGGCCGGGATCGACGGCCAGATACAGGCATTGAGCATGAGGATGACAGGTCCTCCGACGAAGAAACTCCAAGCTACCAAAAGACGGAGCACGACATGAGAATAGTGAAGATCGAAGCTAAAACGGAATTCACCAACTTCCGTCGCGGACTTCTCGTGAGAGTGGCAGCAGGACAGACGATATCCACAGAGGACATGGATCAATTATCCAGACTCCACACGCGAGCAGTGGATGCCACGGGTGATGTTCTGGAAGCGGTTATGTCGAACTGGTCAGATGAGACCAGTGCATGGAAGGAGCGAACAAAGCTCATCACGGAATTGGAGAAGTTAGAAGTGCAGTTCTCCGCAGCCATGGAAGGAGCGATAACCAGTACTTCCCAAGCTCTGCTGGGCCAAGCGCTCCACCAAGGGCAGGACTGGAGTTTTGGCACTTCTGCTGGTGGTACTAGTGATGACGTGCAGGACCGGCCAGGGCGTGGATCCAGCAGTGGACTATTTGACTCAAATCCAGTGCACAGTTACAGTGGAAGTCAGTATCCACTTGACCAGCCCAGCTATGAGTGGCTCAGCTCAGGAGGCTCTTCAGGTCCACTTCCTCCATTAGTGCCAAGTGACAGCCTACTGTCAGCCACACCTGGCAATCACCCAAGTGCAAGTACAGGCACGGGTACTGGTAGTGCTAGTGGTGAGCATGATGCAGGTACTGCAGCCACCCCTCCAGTAGCCACTACAGTCAGCAGTAGCACCGGTCTTGGCTCAAGGAGTGCCAGCAGGGCTGTTACAACTCTGCCCCTGCTTGCTTCATCTGCAGTATCTGCTCCGTTATCCAGCGGCACAACCGGAACTGCTGGAAAACCCAGTTCTACGGCCACCACATCTCAAGTTGGGGGGAATGGTGACAAGAAGGCAGTGCATTTCAGCCAGTCAACGAAGCAATCAGCAGCAAACCCGATGACCATGTCCAGCACCCAGTCGCGGGGTACAACACCACCCGGATCATCTATTCACGATCTGAGGCCCACCGCCAGCAGTTTTACGCCAGGCCGTATGGCCGCTGCAACAGCTCCACCAAGGATGCCAGCCGTCCACCCTGGAGTCACTTCCAACCAGCCGTCAGCCGGACACCACAGCATGAATAACCCAGCTGCAGCCTCGCTATCAGCAGCCTCCCGCACCACGCATCAGCCTGCGCCATGGGCCCACATGCAGAGGATTGCCATCCCTGTATTCGAGGGCGAGAAACGGCACTTTCATTCGTGGTGGGCGGCATTCTCATCGTGCGTTGACGTCGCACCTGTCACGGTCGAGTCCAAGATGCTGAGACTCCGGCAGTATCTCAAAGGTGAGCCGCTAAAAGCGATTGACAGCTTTGGCTATTCGGCGGCGGCCTATGAAGCAGCAAAGGCGTTGCTTCAGCGCAAGTATGGTGGCGAGCGGCGTCGGGTGGCAATCCACCTCGAGGAGATTGACAGTATGAGGCAAGTGCGTTATGGCAAGGCAAAAGAGCTGGAACAGTTCGCTGACTTGTTGTCAGTAGCCGTGGTGAACCTCAAGGATGCCGGGAGGAGTGCGGAGCTGGGGGCGGGCACGTTCTACTACATGCTGCTCCGAAAGCTCGATGAGCGAATTGTTGCACGATATCATCGCTGGCGGTACGATCACACATCAGCCGAATCTGTAGAGGGATTGCTAGAGTTCTGCCTACTGGAAGCGGAATTCTTGGTGACTGCGTCAGAGACAATTACTGGGTTTGGTACGAGCGCCAGCAGCAAAACCGACCAATCCCGCGTTATCAGGGACCATCGACAAGACAAGCCGAGGACACTGGTGACTACCAGCCAGCCGACATCTACCTGTACGGTCTGCCACGGTGCACATAAGACATGGCGGTGCCTGACATTCAAGTCGGCGAACCCCAACAAACGGTGGAAAATCGCAAAGGAGAAGAACTTGTGCTTCCGTTGCCTGGAGACAGGGCACAGCAGCAGCGCCTGCTCATGGGGGCAGCCGTGTGGTATCAGCGGGTGCACCAAGGCACACCATCGTCTGTTGCATGGTACACAGACGCCAGCATCTCAGGCCCAGACGTCACCTACAAGGCCATTCAACGTTCAGCCGCACTTTGCTCAGAAGCCAGCAACAAGTGACGCCGGCGCCACTGGAACAACTCTGTCTACATCGCGAGCAGGGAAAGCCGTAGCTATGCGGACCGTGCCAGTTGTCGTGAGAAATGGCGAGACTGAGCTCCGGGTGAATGCGCTTCTCGACGATGCGAGCACTAACTCGTACGTCAGCTCCCATGTGGCCAATGAACTTGGGCTTACTGGCGAAGAGGAGACATTGACGGTCAAAGTCCTGAGCGGACGCACAGAGATCTTCCGAACGACACCAGTCATGGTGGAGCTCAAGAGCGTCGACGGTACATCAGCTACCACACTACAAGCGTACACTGCTGACTCAGTAGTCGGAAGCAGCAGTGCGTCAATTGGCAACAGAATCGACAGCAATGGCCACACCTCATGGCGGTCCCGTTTCCGAAACTGCAAACCCGCCGGAAGATCGACATTTTGATTGGCCTGGACTGCGCAGAGTTACACACGTCATTGCAGGAGGTCCAAGGCAACCCAGGCGAACCAGTTGCCCGACTCACACCATTGGGTTGGACATGCGTCGGCCCCGTTCACCGCACAGCGGAGTCAGATCCCGTCACACTGTTAACGGAAACGGCGCCACAGGATGTCCACGACAGCCTTGCGCAACTGTGGGTCATTGAGGAGTTCAACAAAATGCAGCCACAGCAACCCGTCTTGTCTTCTGAGGAAAGGGAGGCAGTTCGAGCAAGCCAGCAGTCGCTACAGCTGGTCGATGAACACTACGAAGTTGGTATACCGTGGCGTGGGGAGCGTCCCAATCTACCGGACAACTTTCCTGCGGCTGTGAAACGACTACGTAGCACCGAGAGGCGGCTCAGTCAAGACGCAGCGGCAGCGGCAGCCTATGGCAAGATCATCCATGACTATGTCACAAAAGGCTATGTGCGAGAGGTCCTGGAGGAGGAACTGAGTCCTGGTCGGCAATGGTTTCTGCCGCACTTTGCGGTACTGCGACCTGACAAGGAGACAACGAAGACGCGCATCGTGTTTGATGGCTCTGCGAAGTACGACGGCGTATCACTTAACGACATGATGCTGCCAGGCCCAAAGCTACAGCGTCAACTGCCGAGTGTGCTGACGCGCTTTCGCCAAAACCCAGTCGCCATCATCTGCGACATCGCAGAAATGTACCTGAGAGTCGGACTGTCGCCAGAAGATAGGCCGTATCACAGATTCCTGTGGCGAGACTTGGACGGCGCGGTGCCGCCACGGGTTTATGAGTTCCAGCGACTGGTTTTTGGTGCCAATGCATCACCCTTCCTGGCACAATTCGTATCGCAGGAGCACGCAAAAGCCCATGCGTCTCAGTTCCCACTAGCAGCCGAGACCATGTTATCATCAACATACATGGACGACTCCATGGACTCTGCGGCGGACGACGACGAGGGCATCATGATGTACGAACAGTTGATGGAGTGCTGGGCAGGAGCTGGAATGCACGCTCGCAAATGGCTGTCTAACTCCAAAGCCGTCATGGCCAGGGTTCCGAAGGAGGATCGAGCGAGCCAAATTGGTCTCGACTGTCCGCAACTGCCAAGCGTCAAGACACTCGGACTGCTGTGGTCTGCGACATCGGACCTCTTCACGTTCAAGCCAACTGCACCAGATGCAAAGAAGGTCACCAAGCGTACATTCCTGAGCGCGATGGCCAGTGTGTTCGATCCGCTGGGTTTTGTGTCACCCTTCATCGCCAACGCGCGAATCCTGCTGCAGGATATGTGGCTGCAGGGGGTTGACTGGGATGACCCTCTCCCCGAGGAGCTCCACCGAAGGGCCTTGAGATGGTACGCGGAGCTAGACGAGCTGGCTCAGCTCGAAATTCCACGCTGTTTGCAAGACGTCAACGCAGGAAAACCCGTCAGCAGACAGATCCATGTGTTCGCCGACGCATCGGAAAGCGCCTACGGCGCAGTGAGCTATCTTCGCTGTGAATACCAAGATGGCCATGTATCAACCACGCTCATCGCCAGCAGGTCTCGCGTAGCTCCCATTACAGCCGTGTCAATTCCACGATTGGAGCTGTCTGCTGCCGTAATTGGGACGCAACTAGCTGCTTGGGCGTCGGACGTACTTGGCTTGCCTGTTCGTGATGCTGTCATCTGGACAGACAGTCTAAATGTCCTCCACTGGGTACGGAACCGCGCACGTACCTTCAAGCCATTTGTCGCAACACGCGTCGGAGAGATTCAGGAGCACACTGCACCTGACCAGTGGCGTCACGTGCCGACTAAAGAGAATCCTGCAGATGTGCTTTCCCGCGGCTCGGCAGCGCGTAATCTCATCGAGGACACTTGTTGGTGGTCAGGCCCAGCCTTTCTCCGAGCTGCTGAGTTTGAATGGCCAGGGCAGGGCATCAAGGACCCGATGTCGACAGCAAGCTTGGAACAGAAGAACACAAGAAAGCCAAAGAAATCGTCAGTGGCACTCGTAACATCGGTCTTGGGAGCCTCAGAGAATGGGATTCCGTGGAAGCTAGCTCCGGAGAGGTTCTCGAGTCTCAACCGCCTCGTGCGACTTCGCGCGTGGGTGACGCGGTTCGTGCAGAATTGTCGCACACCAGCAGAGCTTCGAGGCACTGGTCAACAGTCAGTCGATGAGCTGGACAGCAGCATGGCTAGCATTATCGCAGCTGCGCAGGAAGAGACCTTGGAAGAGTACCGCCTGCTGAAGAAAGACAAGGCCATACCCACCTCCAGCAAGCTGACAAAGCTGCGGCCAATGTTGAACGACGATGGACTTCTGTGTGTTGACGGCCGCCTTAAGAATGCACAGATACTGGATGAGGAATCGAGGTGCCCTGTGATTCTACCACGAGGCCATTGGGTCACGCAGCTCATTGTACAGGAAGCGCACGAGCAGAATCACCACACCGCTGGTGTCAGTCACACGCTAGCTCTCCTGTCGAAGAAATACTGGCTACTTGCGGGTCGTGAGAAGATTAAGGCGTGGGAGAAGAAGTGTGCCCTATGCCACCGTCGCCGTGTGAAGCCGGGAGTTCAGCTAATGGCGCCATTACCAGACGTGCGCGTGTCCCTGCCACTGCGGGCGTTCTCTCGAGTCGCCGTTGACTATGCTGGACCATTCATGACCAAGCAAGGACGCGGAAGACCTCGACAAAAGAGGTACCTCTGCTTGTTCACATGCCTACAATCACGTGCCGTACACCTTGAGCTGGCTAGTGGTTTGGACGTTGACAGCTTTATGAACGCCTTTCTGCGGATGACGAGCCGCCGGGGTATTCCCCTGCAGGTCATTTCCGCGCAACTGACAAAGGGATCAAATGGACGTTCAATCCGCCGGCCGCTCCACACTTTGGAGGTGTTCACGAGGCGTTAGTGAAATCGGCTAAACGAGCCATCTATGCAGTGCTGGCAGGTGCAGAAGTCAATGATGAAGAGCTAGCGACCGCCATGATTGGAGCGGAGGCCTTGCTCAACTCTAGGCCACTCACGTACCAGTCTGCCGACGCCAGGGATCTTCTCCCGCTAACGCCCAACCATTTTCTGTATGGGCACCAGGGCGAGCCGTTTGCACCCAAGGGCACGGATGATGTCCCACACAATCTGCGCCAGCGGTGGAGAGTTGTCCAAACGTTAGTCCTGCAAGTTTGGAAGCGCTGGATGACCGAGATGTTGCCTCTGCTACATCCGCGGATGAAATGGCGGCAACCACAACCAGACTTGGCAGCTAACGACATCGTCCTCGTGGTCGACACCGGAGCGCCCCGAGGTCAGTGGAGACTTGGCCGAGTGGAGGAGGTGTATCCAGGAGCCGACGGGCACGTGCGAGTCTGCAAAGTCAAAGTTCGCGGCACGTCCCTTGTGCGGCCGGTTACGCAGTTGTGCAAGCTTGTCGCTGAGTGATCGCAGGTGCTGACAAGTCAGATGGTGGACTTCTGATACATGTGCATGCAGCGAGAAAACTGTACGAGAACTATGTATGACTGTTCTTGTAACCTGAAAGTGATGGACCATGACATATCGGTTTATTCTGGATTCCAACATAACATTACTCTGGTCACTGTTCTCTACAAGTGTAGTGTGCCCAGCAATATGCGGCTGATTCTTGATATAGTCTAGAGCAAATATTCCATATTACTAGGTTCTGTTTTTTTTTTACCTTTCTGTTTTTAGTTGATTAATCTGCGTTTAATCAAGGTAGGGGAGAAATTGTTCACAAGATCCAGTATGCATGTAGATAGTAGTGCTGTGGATGACCAACTGCTTAGTATTATGCATATCCAATGATTCATGTTCCCGCCAGATCCCGCTGTTTGGCACGTGTGAGTGCTTGTTTTCCCGCCAGATGCTGCTTTTGGCACGTGTATGTGCCGCGTTTGGGCACCGCACGGAGTAGGTTTGGTTCTGTTGTGTTTTGGTGCTGCCGTACTTTTCTTCAGGGCTTTTTCTTTGTTTTGTTACGTTTTTGATATCGTTCCATCAGGTTGAAGAAACAGAAGATTCAGTTGTCTCCCAAATCGCTCTCTTGGTCTTGTAACCAGGCGTTGCATTCACAGAAAACATTTCGCAGACAGTGGAAATCCATGCAGTAATGTTCACAGGATAGTGAAGGCGTTGAGGAAGGTGGAGAGGCTGAAAGGTTTGCCGTTACGCACATACTGACACGTGCACACACAGACAGACACACAAGCACAAGAGTATGATACGCACCTGATCCTTGAACGGCTCCAATGACATCAGGTTGGCCAGACAACGGACCAAGTCTCGCTTTACACCACAATAGGTGCTCTTCTTGCCCTCTTCTTCATTGGCATAGATGGTCTGATCTGCTTGACTACCTACTGCTGCTGCTGCTGGTGTTAGTCGCCGGAGAGCATCTGCCACGACAAAAAGAGACAAAGGGAACTCACTACATGCTCTATAGTGGGTCAACACATAGGTATGCAATGGTATTGGCCAATATATTTGCAATACATGGATTGGTCACATTTGTGGAAAATAAGATCTGTATTTAGTGACCGCGCCCCACCGCTCTCGACACATGAAGACTGCAGTGATGGAAAATGAAATACGGAATTGTGCTCAGGTGCAGAACCACAGTTTGTTCATGCAACTATGGTGCGTACGCCCGTCCACCTGCACACACACGCACACGCACACACACACACACGCGCGCGCGCGGCACTGCTTTCGGCTAATGGGTCAGATTCTTTGGCCACAACTGTAGTAGCGCACATCAAGCAAAGCATACCCAAGATAGCTGTGAAGGCTTTGGGATACTTGAGCAGAATGTGACGACCATCCATACGTGACGACAGGTAGCTTAAGTACTGGATAATGCTCAGCGCCAGACTAATCTGTATACACACGAACATGCACACACACGTGCACACACACACATGCACCCCCCCCCCCCCCCACACACACACATACACATGCATGCATACAATGACTGACAATGATCACCGCACTAACATGTATATGCAGAGTTCAGAGCAGAAGCCTCAACCTCTGAGCAATATGGAGTGGACGGAGCATGTTTAAACGCCACTCATGAACATCAACTGAAATATCACAGAGTTAACGAGTGCATTGACGTTTTCGGTGTGTATCATAACATCCGTACTCAAGTGGGAGAGACAAGTAAGGCCAAGTAAAAAAATTTGATTGTTTATCGTCAGCGCCCGCCCCGAATTTTCGCCCTCCCTGCCAAATTTTAATTTTTTTAATTTTAATAGTTCCAGTAAATGTACTGTATGTATTGCGATCTACGCCTATACGGCCTCTAATCAGCGTGGCTATAGATCTTGGAAGGCAAAGTCGGCAGATTAAATCATACATGTAGGTGCTATTGGATTGAAAAGTGAAAGAGATTATCAGCTGCCTGATTTTCTTTGTTGTCCTACGTTGGTTGTTTCACGTTTCCATACTTGCATCCTCAAAATTATCTTGCAGGATGTTACTCGAGGCAGATGATTCATCTGCATCACATGGATTTATCTCACTCTGCGCAAAATGGCTTCAAAAGAAAAGTGAGTAAAAAGGCATGTCAAGCGAACGCCTACCACACAGCCATACAAGCAAAATAAAACATAAAATAAAATACCTCCCGCCCACCCCGATCTCTTGGGAAAATCAGACAATAAGCAATCAATATAATAAATATTATTTTCACATGGCCTAATATCCACATGCAAGGAAAACAAAATCTCCCATCAATGGGTGGACCAGAGCAGGGACATTCACAAGGACTCGGTTCTCAGGTACACTACTGCACTGATCTTTAGCTTTGGAATAGAGTTCTTACTTCGTCCCCCAAATACAGTGCGTATCGGTTATAGCGTGGTCGTGTAAAAGAATATACTGCCTACAAGAATGAACGCTCATGTTTTCATAATCATAACATGGATTTCAAGTGCACATTTATTCTTACAAGCAATTTTATCCCATAGTAGAATATATCGGTCCTAAGAATGGACTTTGTGTCTCGAAACATGGCAGATTAGTACAAAGTGTATCGCCTGTAGTAGTTACATCTGTCCATTTCCGTTCTGATCTGACTCTCGTTGCGTCGTAGTGCTGCAGATTCAACTGTTGTGGTCATGTAACTCATGTTGCATAGCCACATGGTAAGCCTATGGGACTATGACCAGCCACATGCACAGAAGTACTGCGTTGCATGTACGATGATCTTCCTGCCCATGCGCACATGCATATGATATGCCACACTTGATTTATCGTGTGTAAGAAATATCGGAAATAAGAATAGAAAGTCGTTTTTCAAACACCCACGCTATAACCGATACCTACTGTACCTACAATTCCTCTCCTGAAATATGCGAGTGCCTCAGCATTTCAACCTTCTTATCGCAATATGTTTGAGGATGCCAAAAAGAAGTACATGTACAAACCATTCCCGGACTCCCTGACTGTTAACAAATCATAAATCGGATAGCCAATAGCAAGCTGTGAAGTTCCATTCACTTCAAAAGAAAAAAAGATTTGTAAAGAGGTGCAACTAGTGGTATAGCTAAGGCAGAGATATTGAGTGAGATAGGGGGGGGGGGGGGGAGAAAGAGAGAGAGAGAGAGAGAGAGAGAGAGAGAGAGAGAGAGAGAGAGAGAGAGAGAGAGAGAGAGAGAGAGAGAGAGAGAGAGAGAGAGAGAGAGAGAGAGAGAGAGAGAGAGAGAGAGAGAGAGGAGAGAGAGAGAGAGAGAGGAGAGAGAGATAGATAGATAGAGAGAGATAGAGAGACAGAGATAGTAAGTGATAGACAGATATGCAGGCATGCAGGCAGGCAGGCAGGCAGGCAGACAGACAGACAGAAAGAGAGAACACATTTACTTTAAGTTACGTACGTGAGGTGTCTTGTGAGCCACTGCTGGCGCTGTGAGAGGTAGCTTAGACGCACATGTTCCACACTGTGCAGCAAGAAAGAGTGCAGTCTCTGCGAAAACAGCATTGCCAGATTGAAACGTGGCTGTGGTTGACGGGGACGCTGTTGAATCAGTATGATCTGAAAGAAAGCAATGAAAGGGCGACAGAGAGTTAACCTTACCAGTCTACAGATATTTCTCAAAGTGCGAAGACTCCAGTGTAGCCATCCACTATACTCATACACTACAGATAGACGCATGTGAGAGAACAGATACAGGGTGTACTGGTACAATCTAACCAGGTATAGAGATACCGTATTATCTCTAATATAAGCACAGTCTCCAATAATAGCACATCTCCAATAATAGAACACCTTGGGGCGGCATTCAAAAAAAAAAGTGCTCAGTCTCCATTATGAGCACACTGTGTAAATTCATTATCTGTACCGGCGAAAAAACCCTGAAATGTGTGTGTCTGACATGAATTTGGCATGGCAACATGCCTCTGAAATGAGGTTGAAATAATAATGGAACAGTCTCCAATAAAGGAACGTCTCCATTAATAGCACGGGGCAGAGGTACATTGAAAAAATAAAGGACCGTGCTTATATTAGAGATAATACGGTATGCATATGTATTGTTAGTGCTGGAGCCGGATTCGATCAATGGCCAACTAATTATTAGAGATAATACCGTATACAGTACTGTAAATCAACAGATATTCGGCGCATATTTATTTTCGGCTATTTCTGGCCTGGGCATTTTTGGCCTAAAATTTGTTGTGGCCGACATTTCATTTTGCAAGGTTCAGTGTGACAGCGTACTAGTATACGGGCAGCAGCAGTGCCGGCTGAACTTTGAATCCGGCCGAAATGTGTTCTAGCCCTGGGAGGCTGAATTTATAACTCGCCGAAAGTCCGTAGACTTACAGTACCCTTATTTCCTCGATTAGAAGTCGCACCCCACTTTTCAGGATTGAGCCATATCGTTTCAATATAGTCAAGTAGGTAAGAACGGCAATTCGATGATGAGTCCCGTGCGAAGCGTTGCCGCTGGGAGAACTCTCTCAACGATCTTGATCCAATAGTCAAGATCATGATGGGAGCCAAGGAAGAACAAGGTCGTAGCCTTGAGCAGCCTTGCCGTGAAGCTGGTCTTTGTTTTACCTTATAATTCCCACTTCACAGCGAAGAAATAGGCCTGTAGCTCTCCATGCACAGCATGGTGTGACACATGTCACGTGAACCAAGACGACAACCATGTGCTACTATACAAGTACTAGCCCTGAATTTGAATACAGAGAGAGAGAGAGATGCATTGGCTGCTTGAAGAGCATCCTGGGTGTGAAACTGGGAGTATGAGTAGCAACTCAATGAGAAACCAAGTTAGACTGACTGTATGCACTGTAGAAACGTGGGCTCTCACCTGACAGTGTTGCATTCAACAAATCCACCATGACTACCCTGGGAGCACAACACACAGCACACACCACGCCACATCACACACCAAACACCACGCCACATCACACACCAAACACCACGCCACATCACACACCACACCACATCACACAAAACACCACACACCACACCACATTACACACCACACCACACACCATGCCACATCACACAGCACACGCCAAACACCACGCCACATCACACACCACGCCACACCACACACAACATACACCGCACATCGCATAACACACACACATCAACAGTATCAATACAGAGATACAGCGGTATGTACTTGGCCAAGATACAATAAGAACTGTACCAGAGACTCTGAACATGCGTACTCTGCTACAGTGGTGTGGTAGACTGCTCTGTCACTACCCGATTGGTGCTTGCTTGCAAGTTCAACCATGCTTAGTGTATGGTGCCCTATCCAATTAGTCAGAGCCATAACCAATTTGTCTGTGCCGGTGGCCTGTGTGTGTTGCGCTTGCGTGCGCCGGCAGTGTCGTTGGATTCAGTGATTCTGCAACAAGCGTACCATGTCAACGTGTGCAGGTTGACATTGGTGCAGAGTACTGCACAAACTCTGGGTCTATACAGTACGACATACGTGGCCTTCGGAGCAACACACATCTTATCAATTAAGTTAACGTCTAACAGAGGACTGCTACACAGTGTGTTATTGCACATCACACATGTACACCACAATCAGTGAATGGTTTCATCATACATGTACACCACAATCAGTGAATGGTTTCATCACACATGTACACCACAATCAGTGAATGGTTTCATCATACATGTACACCACAATCAGTGAATGGTTTCATCATACATGTACACCACAATCAGTGAATGGTTTCATCATACATGTACACCACAATCAGTGAATGGTTTCATCACACATGTACACCACAATCAGTGAATGGTTTCATCATACATGTACACCACAATCAGTGAATGGTTTCATCATACATGTACACCACAATCAGTGAATGGTTTCATCACACATGTACACCACAATCAGTGAATGGTTTCATCACACATGCACACCACAATCAGTGAATGGTTTCATCATACATGTACACCACAATCAGTGAATGGTTTCATCATACATGCACACCACAATCAGTGAATGGTTTCATCATACATGTACACCACCTACCGCGCTTCAATGTGATCTGATAGCGCACTGTACAGCGCAGGAAAGTCATCGCCAGATACCAGTTGCTCAGCCAGGCGCAACCTGCAACAAAATACACACACACACGTGCACATGCGTGCACACACACACACGCACACACACACACACACACACACACGCAAAATTTAATGATACACTGGCCATGGACATGGCAATAGAGTACTGTCGTGCTGGTTAGTGAAATCCAACCTTGGCTGCTACACTTTCTACACCTAAAGTCAAACAGTCACTGAGGGCCAGCAGCTCTGAAACCCAGCTCAGTTCATAATACCACCATTCAACTCATGGTGCAGCTAGCGGGTTTCGGCACCACGTAACGGAATCACAGCCATTCCGGTCCCGGGACGCAAGACACAAAGGACAAGTACTTGTTTGTTACATTATGATTATTTATTCCACTTATTGACATTACGGAAAAGCAGACTACTCTGACAGAGATGAACAAGAAGACTAACAAAAGGACTGTCGACTACAACATCGCGCATGCTCACATCACACATACACACGACTAGACGAAGACAGTTCGGGGAATGCCATCACACAGGAAAACAACACATCATTTTACAACAAGCTCTTGAGCAAATAGTCAAATTTTACTGCCCAGCACTTCACATGTGTGACTATAGTCCATTTCAAAAAGATTAGCAATCAGGTTTTGGTCTTAAAAAGTACGAAGATAAGGGAAATTTGGACAACAAAGTACATAGAATGGCTTGTTAGGACACGGCAAATTGTTCTGTGAAGGTTTCGGAACAATTGGACCAGCCGTTAAGGATTCAGAATTTCGGCCAGGTTTCCGGCCTTTTCCCATGGTTTACAATTTGCCCTGGATGTCAGTATCGATTTTTTATCAAAACCCACGATTTATCCTTTCCGTTTTGGCCTTGTGGTTATGAATGCTGTCTGCTGACCATGAAGTTGTGAGTTCAAATCCCAAACTATCTTCAAGTCAAACTTTTTTTTCATAGTTTTGGTGATCACGCTGGTACAAAAAGTACAAGCCAAAGAAGGTGGCTGCGCCAAACGACTTGTTGTTGTTGGAGCTCGCGTTTCCTGCCGAACTTACTGACACTTGACTGCTTCACGCCATGTGAACACACTGAAACGGTGTGAGTGAACACGGAAGTCATTGCGCTGCAGCTACGTGTTGTTGAATACAACGGCACATCGATCGATCGATTTCTCTTTGAGAATTACATGTATTTCAGTATTTCAAGATCGCCAATTTATTTGAATTTAGGAGTCAACGCCGTCTTCTATCAGCTTTCACAGGTGTCTGCTTTTCTCAAAATGTCGTCGAAGTCACAAGGATAGCTTTGCCAAGTCATGGCCTTGGGAATGAGTCTGTGTCGATGTCGTTTTCGTCACATCGTGAGAGTAAATTGCATAGCAGCTCAAAGAAATTGGGCACGAAACGAATTGGGACCCACCCCGCTCGTCAACATTTACCACACTTTCGACATGTCCTCTCTGACTCCATGTCGATACGAGGAAGAACTCGTTTATTGTAAACCAGACGTACATGTACCGACGTGAGTGAGTTATCATTTTTCATGCTTTCGCGCAGATTATTTCTTCGAGTTCACAGTGAGTTTTTCCAGCCAGCTCTCGAGCGCGCATACGGTAAAACGGCAAACTCCCCGGGCGATCGCCAGGATTGCTAATCTTTTTGAAACTGACTGTAGAAGAAAACTAAGGGGAGGGTTAGGAAAGGGTTTGCTCCCCGCAAATAGAAGGAAGTTATCACTGTGCATGAGCTGTGCATGAGCTGTGCATGAGCTGTGCATGAGCTGTGCATGAGCTGTGCATGAGCTGTGCATGAGCTGTGCATGAGCTGTGCATGAGCTGTGCATGAGCTGTGCATGAGCTGTGCATGAGCTGTGCATGAGCTGTGCATGAGCTGTGCATGAGTAATGCATGAGTAATCCACAGTGCCAGGTCTACTACAGATACTCACGGAAATTCCAGCTCCGGCCGCTCATTTGTTGCGAGGAGAAGCTTGGCTAGAAGTGGTCTGCCATTGGTGACATCTGTGTGTAGATAGGATCTACCAGTAGCAATGCAGTGTACACATACGAATAAATAGGAAAAAGATCAAGCTTGATAACCTTACACAGGCCCATCACAAGATCAATGTATCATCATGCGCACTGATATACCAAACTGCCAAGCAAAAGCCTATAGAGGTTATGCGAGTGAGATCATCGCATATGTTTTATGTGTAGTGGCAAACCAGCACAGTGCTAGTTTGGCGGTGGCAGTCTACACCTACCTGGTTTCCGCACTTTCCCGCTGACAGCCTCCCCCTCACAATCAAGTTCACACAACAAGTATTGCGGCAGCATAGTGACATTGACGGGATACTTCACACAACACTTGCTGGTATATAGCTGCTCCATTGTAGACATTGACGGGACACTTCACACCACTTGCTGGTATATAGCTGCTCCATTGTAGACTTGCAGCACACTACTGTAACCATGGTAACCTGATGATGATAATTTACTGAAGTGCTGTTCTTACTAATGGAAACAAATGAGTTCAGACTGCACGGTGCTCGTGGACAGAGGACACCTGCTGGCCTACATTTCCCACTGACCATTGGAGCTACAGGAAGCCTCAACCCTCTTACAAACCCAGCTCAAGCTTTTAAGGAAATTACCTGCGACTAGGATCAACAGCCAGGCAAGTGTCAATCACCATTGCTGTAATGTTGACTGTACGATCGTCAGTACTGGATATGCCAAATCTGTGATACATGGGTGCACACGCACACGCACACACACATGCACACGCACATGCACACGCAAACACACACACACACACACACACACACACACACACACACACACACACACACACACACACACATGCAGCAAGTGTGTGTTATTCGTTTGGATGTGTGATAACAATGATAACATACCTGCAATAACATTGGTAAGCAAGCAGCAGGACAACACTGATGTGCTCCACATACACATACTGACATAGCACATTTCACACACACACACACATACTGACAAAGCACATTTCACACACACATACTGACAAAGCACATTTCACACACATACTGACAAAGCACATTTCACACACACCAGTGATATGTACACATGCATGGGAAGAGAGCACGGTAGCAGTTTGCGTTAAGCAACACATACCGGCACTGTACATCAACAGATATTCAGCAAGGTGCAGCACAACAGTGTATACAGGCAGGAGCAGCACAGATTGAAATTTTAACGTGGCCGAAAAGTGTTTAGCCCTCGGAGGCCGACATTCAAACGCACTGAAAGTTTGAAGACTCAAGAAACAGCCGTGTCCGTCACTTACTGTAATATGTGTGGGAAGAGCAATGGCCAGAGGACGGTTACATTGTCAATGCTGTTTACAGCTAGATTGCCACAAAGCTGTAGTGACACACGAACTAGAGGCCAATGAGTAAAAGACTCAGTAGCTAAAGGCACACAAGAGAACAAGAGGCACACAGACACAACAGAATGAAGAGAACGGTCATAATATTATATCAATGCACAAAGGAAGAGGACACGTTTATGTCAAGCCATTTTCTACTTTTCTCATTCCGCGATCGAATCTGTACCTGTGGCATCACAAGCAGCCGCACGCATGATCGCTGGCCCCGTGTGTCACTGCACGTATAATGCATTTGCATGCATTGAACGGTGCACAAGAAGTTTTGAGAAAGAAGATAATCAAGCTATTGTGTCAATGTAGAGAGTAAAAGTGCGATGGGAGAACGTGGCCCGAAGACTATTTTTATTATTAGCAGCAGAGGATGGTTCTATGGTAGAAGTAGCATTGTAGCCTTAGGGAAAAATGGAAATTGAGAGGTTTCACTATCATACACAGTATGCATGGCATCAACACTCAACTTACAGTGTGAGCTGACAGCCAGTAGAAGATGGAGAAGTCTTGCAACGCTGGACACCACTGTAGACTCCCTGCACAATAACACCAAGCAAACAGGCATGCACACTGTTTGAATAGTCGCATAGTACACTTGTATACAGAGTCACACACCTACACCATGCACAACCACGGGCTACAATTATTAGTCATGACATGGGCAAAGCCTACACGATAACACAAGAAATGAATGCCAGCCCTGAGCCCACACTCGTGCTTCTCAGCATCTCTCCACCTATGTACAGGTACATGTATGCGATTGTCTACAAGGGATTGTTCGTAGATGCCTGGAATATTCCGTGTGTGTGTGTGGAGGTCGTGCGAGAGTTAGGGGGCGATCGCTTTTGATTTACAGGTTTCGGTAGAAACTACTTCCTTCGGTAGATGTAAACTGTCAGGGAAGAGAAACTGCCAGAAAAGCGAGAAAATATGCCAACGTTCGGGGTTGGCATTCTTTCTCTATTCAGGCAGCTCACTTCCCTGACAGTTCACATTGAATTCGAAGGTCTCCCAATGCTTCCGGTAGATGTGTTCGTTTTCTCTACCCAACCGGAAGATTCTCCTTGCTCTACCGGCTCTACCAGCTACCAGGTAGAAGTTGGTAGAGGTACGGTAGTTCTGTACTGGTATGACCAGGAGTACTGACTTCCACAAAATAGAGTACATCGCACTGTAGATATCGCAAAAAAAGGACTTCACATCAATGTTGTACGGAAATGGGCAAATGAGCGTTCATGAACAACCCTCTACCTTCTTTTCTTTTTTCCAACATCCGTTCTACTCTACTCCATCAAGTAGACAAAAACAAACCCAGCCTTAGGAGTGCCATCGAGCATCAATGAAGCACGTTGTAATAGCGAGTCCGTGAAGTGCTGTTACGCTAGGTGAGAACAAACTGATGGCCAAGCTCAGAGTGAGACTAGGCCCTACACTGTTCTCACAATGGCTATCGTATTTTCCGGAATACAAGCCACACTTTTTACACTTGCAATTCACCCAAAAAAAAAGTCAGTGTGGCTTATATTACAATGGTTAAGTGAACGGTGATATACATTAACAGGGTGGATGTCTGTATTTCATACAGGGTGGATGTCTGTATTTCATACAGGGTGGATGTCTGTATTTCATACAGGGTGGATGTCTGTATTTCATACAGGGTGGATGTCTGTATTTCATACAGGGTGGATGTCTGTATTTCATACAGGGTGGATGTCTGCATTTCATACAGGGTGGATGTCTGCATTTCATACAGGGTGGATGTCTGTATTTCATACAGGGTGGATGTCTGTATTTCATACAGGGTGGATGTCTGTATTTCATACAGGGTGGATGTCTGTATTTCATACAGGGTGGATGTCTGTATTTCATACAGGGTGGATGTCTGTATTTCATACAGGGTGGATGTCTGTATTTCATACAGGGTGGATGTCTGTATTTCATACAGGGTGGATGTCTATATTTCATACAGAGTGGATGTCTGCATTTCATACAGGGTGGATGTCTGTATTTCATACAGGGTGGATGTCTGTATTTCATACAGGGTGGATGTCTATATTTCATACAGGGTGGATGTCTGCATTTCATACAGGGTGGATGTCTGTATTTCATACAGGGTGGATGTCTGTAGTTCATACAGGGTGGATGTCTGTATTTCATACAGGGTGGATGTCTGCATTTCATACAGGGTGGATGTCTGTATTTCATACAGGGTGGATGTCTGTATTTCATACAGGGTGGATGTCTGTATTTCATACAGGGTGGATGTCTGTATTTCATACAGGGTTGATGTCTGCATTTCATGCAGGGTGGATGTCTGTATTTCATACAGGGTGGATGTCTGTATTTCATACAGGGTGGATGTCTGCATTTCATACAGGGTGGATGTCTGTATTTCATACAGGGTGGATGTCTGTATTTCATACAGGGTGGATGTCTGCATTTCATACAGGGTGGATGTCTGTATTTCATACAGGGTGGATGTCTGCATTTCATACAGGGTGGATGTCTGTATTTCATACAGGGTGGATGTCTGTATTTCATACAGGGTGGATGTCTGTATTTCATACAGGGTGGATGTCTGTATTTCATACAGGGTGGATGTCTGTATTTCATACAGGGTGGATGTCTGCATTTCATACAGGGTGGATGTCTGTATTTCATACAGGGTAGATGTCTGTATTTCATTCAGGGTGGATGTCTGTATTTCATACAGGGTGGATGTCTGTATTTCGTGACAAAAAAAAACTGGGAGCGGCTTATAATCCAGGGTGGTTTATAATCCGGAAAATACGACACTAGTACATGAAAAACACACTACTCAAGCTTACCCAATCAAACTCTGATGATCGGCATCTGGGCACAGATTACGTAAGCAGCGAATGTAGTTTGTCACATTGCTAGACTGCTCCTCTGACACACACTCGACAATGCCGATCTGTTCTCTAATGCTACTTGATGGCAAATAGTTCTCCAGGTGTCCATTCAGCATGTCTGCCGAGCTGCGACAGAACATCAGGACTTGATCATCTCCGATCGATGAACTGCAACCAGCAGAGATGCACAGACATACACAGACACAAGAGTATACAGTAAATGCAAAACACTCATTCATGTCAACACGCACATCTGTATTGGTTCTTCACTAAGCCGAATCGTTGATGCTTTCAGTCTAATTCAATGATGGTAGGAGGACTAGATTGTGCAGGTACATGTATACACATAACCATTCATACTAGAAATTCACAGTCTTGAACACTGCCTATGCACTTCTCAGCCATACCAAGCCATTCAACACAAGCCTTTCAAACATACAGTGAAGGGGGGGGGGGGGGGGGCTGGTACTTTGCATTCTTTTTCTGTGTATTCTTATACATGTACGCCATGAAGTACAATGGGGCAATTTTTGAAAATTTCATGAAGGGCATCAGGAACCATGTACGTTGCATGTTTGTGCTGAAATACTCAATGGAAAACAAAACACTACACAGTTTTCACAAGCTTTTATAGCCGTCTTCTCAACCAAGAGGCAGAATGGCACTAGGAGTAGGACAGCCAAATCAATGAGCTGTATGTGCTGACATTGTTACCATGCGCACATAATCATTACATGTTCATACTGCACGTGTACACCAGTAATACTAAATCCCCTGTTGAATTCGAAATACTAATACTGTACAGTAATACCAGACACATACTTATTCGAGCCTTTGGCAATTGATAGCATTTCCTCTGCACCAGGAACACACGCCATAGTAAAATATCACAGCAGGAGACGCTACAAAGGGTGAAATTTCACAAAATAAAATGGAAATACTTGTAACGGTTTAGGGAGTTGAAAATACTTTCACCGGTACATGTGGTGGTAACAAACAGGCTTCAACCAGGGAGTAGTACCGGTACAATCAATGAATAGTCAATACCCCTGATTCAATTACCATGATTACAGCTGTACTACTGCTAGTATTTTCAAGTCAAGAAGTGTTTTTTGAATATTGCATGACGCGTATGTAACTTTTGTTGACGTCAATTCAGGGTAGTTTCCATGGCTACCTCGAGGAAAATGGAGCTTGGAAGTAACATTTTTTGTGCCGAAAGCTGGATCTGTATGATGCATGCATGATGCATGATTTGAGTTGGACGAGTTGATTTCTTCCTTTTCGTAAACTCTTTTTGAGTATTGAGGACAAGCCACCATCTCTCCGCTGAGCTTTCTTACAAGCTCTTGGCCCGTGCGCAGGAGAGATGGCTGAGAAACTGACTAGGATCGCCATCGTCAGCACGGACAAATGCCGTCCCAAGAAATGTCGGCAAGAGTGCAAGAAGAGCTGCCCTGTCGTTCGGATGGGTATGCGAATTGATGCTTCGTACCATTGTTTGACTTCTTCACATTTTCTGAGTCGATGGGCCTGTACTTCCACTGCTCGTATTGTCTGGACTTGTAGGCAAGCTCTGTATTGAGGTGACACCAACTGACAAGGTTGCCTTCATCTCGGAAGAGCTTTGTATTGGATGTGGTATCTGTGTGAAGGTAAATCACTCAATTGTGCTTTGTTTGTGCTGAGTACTTCAGCATGCGTGTACACAGTATTGGTTTTCAGAACCTTTCGTAAATTCAGTTTAGCTGCTGAATAAGCGTTTGTTCTGTCCAATTCTACCAAAAGCTCCTCGACGTGTGAATGTTATTGATTCGTTCATTCAAAGTTTCAAGTGGGGTTGCTAATCTTGCAAACCCTGCGCTCAACAGCTGTGCACCTTCTTGCCTACTGGTTTACACGACACAGGGGAGGGCCTAGGGAGTGGTTGATTAAAACTAGTGTAGACTCACCTTCGTTATTGAATTCCATTTGGCCTGATACTTCAAGACACAACGCTAACGTCTGTATTGCGATCTGTTAAACCTTAAGCGGACGCATAATATAATAGTTATGCACACTCGCGCACCTCACAATCAGTCGCGGGCGCGCGTGCACACACACACACATAATCACAATATACACTGAAGTGTTGGTATTGCAATACTATTTTGGTGTGCTTGTGGTTTTCAGAAATGTCCTTTTGAGGCAATCTCTATCATCAACTTGCCCAGTAACCTTGAGAAAGATACAACTCATCGCTATGGTGCTAACTCTTTCAAGCTTCACAGGTAGGAACTTCATCCATACACTCTGCAGAGAAACTTACTCGTGTTGAAGTATTGGATTGCACAACAGTATTCTGCGTATAGCCTGATGAAGCAGCCACAGCTAGAATGCGTGCCTTGTGTCTGTGTTGCAGGCTTCCCACTCCACGCCCTGGTGAGGTACTGGGTCTTGTCGGCACTAACGGTATTGGAAAGTCCACTGCGCTCAAGATCCTGGCTGGCAAGCTGAAGCCCAACCTTGGCCGCTTCAGTGTAAGCCTTTCTATGTAACGATTACCGGTATCTGTAGTATAGTCTGGCTTGTATATGCATGTGAACACATTGATAATAACACCAGATCATCAATACTGAAGGGAATAATCATGCCCTCAGCATATTACGTCCAGTATGTCAATATATAGCCTACTGACATAGAAACAATTTGCCTGCCTACGAGTGTTTTTGTATCCCAGCTGCGCGGCATGCTGCGTTCTTGTGATCTGCTGATAGGTCTGACAGTTCCTAGACATGCTCCTTTAGTATTTACTCATTGTGATCAATATGCTGTCTTCATCTTTTCATCTTTCTCGGTGATTATGTGTAACCTTGGCTTTTATTTTAAACACGCGTCTTGCAGGCACCACCAGATTGGCAAGAGATCTTGACCTACTTCCGTGGCTCGGAATTGCAGAACTACTTCACGAAGATTCTCGAGGATAACCTCAAGGTAGGTATTGCTTGTACCGTACGGTGTATGGTTATGCGTGTGTTGCTTGTACGGTGTATGGTTATGTGTGTGCTCGGCATCAGCTGTAGGCCACGCTTGTTTTCATTATCATCGGTTATGAACATTGTCTGTAAGATGTAGATTCATGACCTGTTAGTTATCACCCATGATGCATAGGAACGGCTTACTTAATGCGAGGATAGTCCGCTTAGACATGGTGCCTACTCCCGAGTGTCTTGCTAAAACAATCTCTTGCTAAAACAATCATCAGACAGCGTCATACAACTTATTTGCCTGATGGTAGTTCTAGCACTTCATGGGAAGCTTTGAGTAGCCGCGGCGCTCAAGTGATCAGTTGTGGCCCATGGCTCTCTGCTTTGTGCATTGGTCATTGCAAGTATACTGACAGTTTGCCACCATCGTTGTAGTAGGGGTTGATAATATTGTACATGCGTCTTTGTACATGTACATGTACTATGTTTGGTTTCGACATCTAATATTAGTGGGCTTGTGTTGTCGACAGGCGTTCATCAAGCCGCAGTATGTTGATCAGATCCCGAAGGCTGTCTCGGGCAAGGTACAGGAGATCCTGGAGAAGAGAGACGACACAGACACGAAGGAGTCCATCTGTCAACAGCTGGGTAAGATATTTCAGCTGGACATTGTTCCCATATTCTCTTTGATCCACTGTCATGGGAAATGTTGCAGTGTTCGTAACGCTGTGGCTCTCTCATATTTGAATGCCGTTTTTCCTGTTTGTAGCATTTCTATTAGTTGGGAACTCGTGGCCTGGCACTAGGGAGACATGGATGCAGCGAATGGGATTTTGGGTATTTGACCACTTTACTGGTGGATCTACCCACCTCCTACCGCTTTAGGAGCTGCCTAATCTGCGCCTTTGACCTTTGCAGGGTGGCGGCGTTCCTACGGATGCTGAAAACTCAGTCAACTGAGTCTCAAGTGAATCGTGAATTTTTGGAGGTGTAATTCTCAATTTCTCAAACTTTACCGATTATGAATTTGCTGTTGGTTTATTTCTCAGACCTTGTCAATGTCTTGAACAGAGATGTTGAGGCTTTGTCTGGCGGAGAGTTGCAGAGATTTGCCTGTGCTGTCGTCTGCATTCAGAATGCCGACATGTAAGTTTTGTTGTAATTTTTACTTGTAAGTACCTGTCGTCATTTTACTGTCCAATGTGTGCCGCTCTGTGTGTAGTACTGTCCAGTGTGTGATGCTGTGTGTGTAGATGTACTGTCCAATGTGTGATGCTGTGTGTGTGGATGACTAGTATATAGATGTGTGTACCTACGACGCTAGCTCTCATGCGTGAAAGGGTCAGTATTTCAGTGGTAGGTGGAGTATGGGTATATATCAGAACTGCCTCCAAGTACGTGTGCATGACATTGTGTGTGTGTGTGTGTGTGTGTGCGTGCTTGTGTGTGTGCTTGTGTGTGTGTATGTGCATGTGCCTTTTATGTCTGTGTTTGTTCTGTGTAGCTACATGTTTGATGAGCCGAGCAGTTACCTGGACGTCAAGCAGAGATTAAAGGCTGCATTGGCAATCCGCTCGCTGATCCGTGCCGATAGGTATGCTGTTTGTACCTGTGCCGGATTGGTTGCTTGGGATTGCTTTTCACCTGGTGAACCAGCTTGTCATGTAACAGTTACAGTAGAATGCCGATTATCCGAACGTCAACTATCCAAACGATCAATTGTCCGAAATGCCTGCTTTCATTGAATTGAGTGGTAGAAAGTGAGTTTTTGCTGATCTCTCCTCGCGGAACACCATTCAAGCGATGCACAAGATGTATTACAATAGGTTGGAGTCAAAATGTGCATGTATAGCGATAGTGTCATTTTGAAGAGCTGGAGTGTGCCCAGCTCCTGTTGTTCTGCCGAAGAGAATGAAAAATGATTTTTTTTAAACATGCTGGAATGTGCATGTTTTTGATAGATGTGTGACTGCTCCCTTATCCGAACATTCTTCCCATCTGAATCCTCTGGAGACAGGCTGCGCCCCGAGGGGTGCGGATAATCGGCACTGTAACTTACTGTACGTGTGTTCTGTCCAGCAGCTTGGCTCTAGTCTCCTCTGTTCAGTTGCAGAGTTAGGTCTAACATGTTAGCCTAATTAATGGTCTGTTGTCTCTGCTCATATATTTTGTTTGGCCCTCAGATACATTATCGTGGTGGAGCACGATTTGAGTGTGCTCGACTATCTCTCCGACTACATCTGCTGCTTGTACGGAGTTCCCGGAGCCTACGGTGTCGTAACACTGCCCTTCAGTGTTGGACAAGGTATGCGCTGACCTGACCTGTGCTGACTATGTGCATGAGTGGGGATAGCGTCCATTCACTCTTTCCCCACCCTGTAGCAGTGTAGATGCTGAGATATTATGGCAGTGGCTTGACTAACCAGCGAAGAATGTTTCAACTCTCGCTGACCACGGCTGTCAAGAAGCGGCAACTTAGAAAGATGGCGTCGGTTCGAGATGGCATGGTAACCGCGCACGTGCGGTGGTCCGTGACTTGCTCATGTATGCACGCAAATGCAAGTCACAAACTCACAAAGATCGTCTTTGCATTTGGAGAAAATATCTTCGACTCTCTTTGGAGGTTGGCGAGGTTTGCCTAATCTTTACTTGATTGCGATGCCGGTATGTCCTCTCAATAATTAGAACAAAGAGAACTGATGATCGCTTCATTGCTGAGCAGAAGTAACAATCAACTCTACTCATGTCCTCAGTGCCAAAGGCAGACGACTGCAATTCCACAACGCTCATTTCACGATGATGGAAACAATAATCGTGTACTAGTACACACTTGGACCATTTGGTCATCCCTATTCTAGCCGCTAGTCCGTCCAGCAAGCAGATATTGACTATTACGATAAGTACAACTGCGTGAACGAGGGCTCACCCAGCAATTCAATTCAAGACGTGACTCCAGTCAAGAATTAGGATCTTTACTCGAGAACTTCACAAATACAGGTCAAGGCACCCCACAAAACTGATAGATGGCACGAACGAAAGACAAATAGGCTAGACAAAGTGTCCCAAGTGATTGAAAACAGCAGATCTACCAAATAAGACAGCTACATGTGCCTAAACAACGATTCCCATACAGTAGAGAGTAGTATCAGGCAGAATGAAAGCCTTGGAAGTGCACAAATACAGCCACGACCGCCACAAAAATTGGACGACCGCCACAAAAAAATTCTCATTGCTCTACCTCCTTGAAGGGTGAAAGTTACCAGTTTTCCTATAGCGATGTCAGTTTATGCCTGTTGGAACCCCCCACAGCCCGCACGAAATACCTTTCAAATAATTCCAGGATGCAATTGCAGCTCCAGACTGGAGGAAGAAGAACACCGTGAAAAATAACGGCAACGATGCCCAAACTCTCGGGAAACGGCTGAAGTCTTCCTGAAGATGTTAACATTGAATAGCCATCGATTACCAGCGTGGTTTGGTGACTTTAGAACTGTTTTGAGACTTAGAACGAAGCGATATCTCAAATTTGATGGAATTGTTACTGTACAAGCAGAACTATTCGTCTGGAATTTAATTTTGTCTTTTTCGTCCAACGAGCTGTTGGACTAAATTAAATGCTGGACTAATATTAATTTGTCCAGCTTTTCAATACACTCTTATGATCCATGGACGAAATTTACAACCGGACGAACTCCCTTTCTTTGGAGCTGGACGAAATTATTGACCGACGAAATTTTCTGCTTATACAGTACCTGTCAAATGCGTGGGCGAGCAGGCCAGCTGACTGGTTATGCATGAACATGCATGAGCGTGCATTGATTTTTCATGGTTCACGTGCAGAAAACTAAGTTGCCGCGATCCAAGTGCAGCTAACAGTCGTGTGACTGCCATGCTTGATTTACACCTGTAACCTTGTTTTAAAGTTGTGATTCCTAGTGACTGTCTCCCGTGTCATCTTGTTTTCGTGTGTGTGTTCACAATACACCTTTGGTTTGCTCTCTCGTCTCTCTCTATTTGTCCATCCAGGTATCAACGTGTTCCTGGACGGTTTTATTCCCACTGAGAACTTGCGTTTCCGTGAGACGCGACTCATGTTCAAGGTTGCCGAGACTGCAGATAAGGTAACCGAGCTTTCATGGTATTCCGGGTCCAAACTTGACGTGATAATTTTGCCCATGGAGACTGTTTATGGAGGAAGTGAATTGACTGAGGGAGGCTGGGTGATGGAATTTTCCTTGCATAGTATTTCCAGGTTTACAGAGCTGTTAACAGTGCTGTTTGTTCTGGTGTATGTGTCTGTGTGTGTGTCTGCATGTAGGAGGAGGAAGTCAAGAAGCTCCACCACAACACGTACCCTGACATGTCAGTAAAGCTTGGTAAGTAGTTGTTAAATGGCTGTTATGGAGGTGTGTGTTCTTGTGTGTACCTGTGTGCGCGCGCGTGCGTGCATGCTCGTGTGTATGTCTATACCCCCTGCCATGTGGGAATGGATGCTTGATGAGTATGGTCATTCGGTGCCAATAATCTTATCTGTGTTCCTCTGTTCTTGCCTCCTCATGGTGTGTGTGTGCGTGTCATTAATCTTCTTTTTTCCCCATCTTTTGTGACTGGATGTGCACAGGTGACTTCAAGCTGCAGGTCAACCAAGGTGACTTTACTGACTCTGAGCTGATTGTCATGTTGGGAGAGAATGGTAGGTGCACTGTCCAACTCTGTATATGAATAGCGCATGCGTATTCCCATGGTCCACACGATATATTCGTGGTGATGATGTGTGTGGTCCACCATGACCCACACTCTTTGTGCTGCAACTGAGAAAGAGGGAAAGAAAGAGAGAGAGAGAGAGAGAGAGAGAGGGGGGGGGGGGGGGGGGTGTATGTGTGCCTGCGGATTGGGCAGCTACCTGGCGTAAGTCTTCGTTTAGATTGTGTCCGCTTTTGTTGCTATAAGAAAACATTAGCATGGGTTCACTTGGAGGCTTGCATGCTTTTCTTGCGATGGGTGAACGTAGTTTGTGTGTGTGCGCGTGTATGGGTGTGCTCACGCGTGCGCACGGGACATATCCTCCAGCACTAGCACCAGCAACTAATGTGACAAATGTACTGTGGCTCATTCGCCTGTTAACTGTTCTGTATGTTATGGTTTGCTTTTCTTATGCATACTTTTCAAGGCACTGGCAAGACTACTTTTATCCGCATGATGGCTGGTCTGCTGAAGCCTGCTGAAGGCGGTGAGTGTGAAAAACTTTGAATACACTGATAATTTATTCCAGTGCACTGATTGTGGTTGTTGGTAACATAGCGGGGGTGTCATCCACTAATTTCGTGTAATCTCCGCATGCACAGACCCTTGGGACTCTGATCTGAATTTTATTCCCGTAGCTATGCAGAAGACGTTACTTCAGTAACGTCTGGCGCTAGCCAGGGTCCACACAGCTTTAATTTGGTGTTTGTGTGTTTGTTTGTGTCACGCCTGGCGCTATCCGTATCTGACGGCAAAAAAGCATAGGATGTTATAAATTTTTCAATTCTCCTTTTTTTCAGGCATATCCTGGGATTCGAACCCGCACTATCGCCCTACATGCATTCCCCCATACACTTCGCATTCATACCCATTCTTCCAAGTTGCGTTACGTTATTAGGCCACACTTTGTTTTTTCTATGTTTCTCGTCATCGCCCGCGTAGGTTTTCAGAAATTTCGAAGAAAAAAAAGAGTTCATACTACGTAGATCTACATGTATGTGCGCTGCACATGCTGCAGCAGCTAGCCTAGATGCGTCAATCAAAATCGTAAACGTTTGCACCACAGCAGCAAAGGAGCGCTCCCCGTCCTATCCGTTCTCTGCGATGAAGGCTGCCATGACGAAGCTTTCAGTCGTTCACTGCCTGAGCCTCGTGGGTCCCAGGAATACCGTAAGTCGGACGAGTTCCGTGGCAACTGGCGTCTGTGGAACGATGTCGTGGGCAGAAAACCCCAGCAATAGACGCGTGGCGAGGAAAAGATGAGCAGCGTGGAGACAAGAGTTTGATAAGCGGACACAAGGACATTGAAGTAACAAAACCAAAAGAGACCAGTGGGAAAGCGTTTGTTGATGCGATAGCAGATAAATGTATGTTCTCTTCGCCATCTCGTATTTATCAAACTTTATACTCTCATTGTTGCAGTTTGCCTGATATTCGTGGGCTGTAGTGCAATCATGTACATGATTGTACAATGTAGTACTGTATACATGGTATACGTAGTGTCTTGTATGATACTATGAATCACGCATACCGGTATAAGACGGCAACGTCTGTAGGGCCTTCCCTATCAAAATAATAAATTCTACTACTACTACTACTACTATACAAGTAAAATGTATCCAGTTTTCAGTAGAAATTGTTCTTGTTTTTTCCTTGGCTTTTGTTTTTTTTCCGCCCGCCCGCATACCTTTTGTTAAAATTTGCCGACGAGAAACATAGAAATAACAAAGTGTGGCCTTATCTTGCGTTTGAAAGCCCTATTTGAATATTGCGGGAAGCTGTATGTGGCCAGCTGTGTTTGATGGTACGGTACGGTACGGGAGACGGTGTCGTATTACCCTCGATCGTACCTGTCCCGTCCCTATCCCCTACCGTACCGTGCCATCAAAGACGGCTGGCCACAATGCATATAACTCAAATAGGGCTTTCAAATGCAAGATCACAATGTGAAACAACTTGGAAGAATTAGTATGTATGCGAAGTGCATCGGGGGATGAATGCAGGGCGCGCGATAGTGCGGGTTCGAATCCCAGGTTATGTCTAAAAAAAAGGAATTTTTTAAAGAATTTATAACATGCTATGCTTTTTTTTTGTGTAGGTCACCAAGGCAAAAAAGCATAGCGTAGGGCCCTGAGCTTCCAAGCTCTCTCGTCTGTCCAGCAAAGAAATCACATGGGGTTTATCTGTGTGGCGTTGCTATCTTTGATCATCCCTTTCCTTGCAGCAGTTGCAGCTGGGCTGGCTCATATAGGTACATGTGTCCCTTCTGTTGCCTGCTTTTTCTTCTTTCTTCAGTCGAGGTTCCTAGATTGAATGTCAGCTACAAGCCGCAGAAGATCAGTCCCAAGTCTGAGGTAAGACAGTGCAAGACCGTACATGTTTTTCGATTTTGACAGTATGTTACAAGGCGAGGACGCGTAGTGCTCCTGACTACAACCATAACCCGGTTGGCAGAGTCCCGGTCTTGCGACCATTTGAACCGTATTGGGAAACCCCAGGTTCGGACCCTCGATACTCTAGGGGTTGGTAGGATTTAGAAAATTTCTTTTTTTGTTGTAGAAGTCGTCGTGTTGCCGCCGCAGTATTGTTCACGTTGTCGCGTACGCGTTGCTGCCGCTGTAGGGATCACGTCTGCCAACCGGGTTATGGTTGTAGTCAGGAGCACTACGCGTCCTCGCCTTGTAACATGCTGTCAAAATCGAAAAACATGTTAAACTACCAAGCAAGGCTTCTGTGTATATAAGACCGTACATGTATGTAGACTCACTCTGCCAACCGAAAGCATCTTGATTTTGTCTTTCATAGTTTTTAGTCTTGGCATTGTGCCGGAATGTGGAGTAGTTTCCTGGAATGATCTGAGGTGCATTTATCGTGTGTAGACTCAAAGAGTTGCGGCAGCTTGAGAGAGTGCTCAGTGCACCTACATGCAGAACACTCTTTCGTTTACAGGACCCGTATCGTGTAGACTGTGGTATTGTGGATGATATTTGTCCAGTTACACACTTTGTACAGCCACTAGAGCAAGGGCGATGTGTTTTGTTGTCGTGAGTGCCTGAATGGACAAGTGTTTGTGTGTGTTGTGTGTGTGCGTGTCCGTGTGTCCATGTGTGTATGCACCCTTTGTGCTCAAGGACCTCTTTTTCATTACTTATTCATGTGGTTCTGTGTTTTTTGTTTGTGTTGTGGTGCTAGGACTCTGTGTTGGGCCTGCTGCACAAGAAGATCCGTGATGCATACGCTCATCCACAGTTCCAGGCTGAGGTCATCAGGCCACTGTGCTTGGACCGCATCATGGACCAAGAGGTAGGTCATTGTGTGATTTGTCATCTTTTATTGAAAAATCTAGCCCTATGGAGAAGGCAGAAATGCATGTTTATCTGGTGAAGTAAAAGTATTCTCGATCAATCCATGTACACGGTCGTGCGCAGCTTCACTGCCCATGTGATTATTTGCCTACTCTCCTTGGTGACCAAGGCCTTGGGTCCTGGCTAGCATGCGGTGCTGAGTGAATTCCTTTTCTTGTTTTTTTTATGCTCCTCCCTTTCTCATCTCTAAAAGTGAATTGGTTTGCTCTGTGTTGATCTAACTTGTTCTGTTCTGCACTTGATTGATATCTGCTGGATTGCTTCTCAGGTGAAGAACTTGTCTGGTGGTGAGTTGCAGAGAGTTGCTCTTGCTCTGGCTCTTGGAAAGGTGAGCAGCATCGATCCTTGCTACTTGCTACATGTACTTCGAAGTAGTCTCATGTCATATTGTTCGTTGTTTTCAATGAGTCTGAAAGGAACTTTGTAACACTGCTGTTAGAGTACATGTACTAGTATCAGTACCTCATAGTATTTGTGAATCCAACTGGATTGTCCAGCCTATTGTTACTAAAAATTCTCTATCATATTGCTTTCTTGTCCTGGGATGGAATTGCCTTTGTCTTCCCTCTCCCTCTCTTCTCTCCCTTGACTGGTGATGCTCATTTGCTGCTGCTGCTGCTGCGCACTGTGTTTCAATTTCTGAATACAGCCTGCTGATGTGTATCTGATTGATGAGCCGTCTGCCTACCTGGACTCAGAGCAGCGTATTGTTGCGGCCAAGGTTATCAAGAGGTACAGACATTCGTGCTGCTTTCTTTCTATACGAAAGAAACTCCTTGCATAATGGACAATTATTAGAAACTCAGTTTAAGAGTACATACCTGGCAGATAGAGTGGGTGGGACCTGTGAAACTCAGCCGACCTGCAGGTCTCGGCATCATAGCTTGCCAGATGTTATGTTTGTGATTTCATCGTCTGATCTTGTTTTGTAGTATTACCCTCCCGTCAAGTATCAGTGAGATTTGCGTTTAGTCGTTTACGCTTACCTGTTCATAGTGTTTAAGCCGGCACAATAAGGTGTGTGTGTGTATGTGTACTCGCCTGCTCTCAGGTTTATTCTCCATGCCAAGAAGACAGCGTTCATCGTGGAGCACGATTTCATCATGGCCACGTACCTTGCCGACCGTGTCATTGTCTTCGAAGGAAAGCCGTCTATCGACACGTTGGCTAACACGTAAGTTTCAACACACCCTGATAACTGTTGTATTTTTCTCGTGTGCATTAAGGATGCACAGCAGCACTTCCTTGACCCCTTCAAGGAAGTGTCTGGCAGGCTCTGGAGAAACTGGTGTCACCACTGTGACAAGCTGGTCGTTATTTGTGGATCGTTCACGGTCTCTCCGACCTAGCAGGACCATTGTCGTAGATGATAAAATAAGTACTGGGAAGCATCGGACACAAGAGAATGGAGATGAGGTGTTTTCGGGTGATGTTTACGTAATCTTCTCCTTGCTGATACTGGCATTCTGGAGAAAGATCTGTGATAGGAGCTTGAACGTAATGACGGTAGGAATCAATGAATAACAACATCTGGGTGAAATAATTCACTTGACCACCGCGAAGTGTGACATTTGGCAGGTGGGCCCCTTACACCACATGCCAGTGTTATGTTTTCTGTACCAGCAATGGGTCCCCAGCCAGAAGGGAGCCAGTACAGTCACATTGGCAGGTGTGTCACCTTGCTTTGAAGGAAACCACTCCAAACGTGTGTGTGTGTGTGTGTGTGTGTGTGTGTGTGTGTGTGTGTGTGTGTGTGTGTGTGTGTGTGTGTGTGTGTGTGTATCCATCCGAAAACTGGATACAAGTGGATACAAACATCAGCATTGCCACGAGGCTGTGACTTGGAGCAAGTCTGCTCGGGGCCCCAAATCGATTTACTAGTATTTGAATAAACCGATCTACATGTTTTCTCTCTCTATCTCTCTATCTCTCTATCTCTCTCTCTCTCTCTCTCTCTCTCTCTCTCTCTCTCTCTCTCTCTCTCTCTCTCTCTCTCTCTCTCTCTCTCTCTCTCTCTCTCTCTCTACCTCTCTACCTCTCTCTCTACCTACCTCTCTCTCTCTACCTCTCTCTCCCTCTCTCTCTCTCTCTCTCTCTTTTTCTCTCTCTCTCTCTCTCTCTCTCTTTTTCTCTCTCTCTCTCTCTCTCTCTCTCTCTTTTTCTCTCTCTCTCTCTCTCTCTCTCTCTCTCTCTCTCTCTCTCTCTCTCTCTCTCTCTCTCTCTCTCTCTCTCTCTCTACCTCTGCACCATCCTGTCCTCTGTAACCACAGGCCTCAGGTGCTGTTGACAGGAATGAACAAGTTCTTGAAGTCTCTGGACATCACCTTCCGCCGTGATCCATCCAACTTCAGACCGCGAATCAACAAGCTCAACTCCCTCAAGGTGAGACTGTCTGCGACTGAGAACAACTTAGATACAGCGACAGCTATGATGCAGTAGTGCTGTACACTATACCATACACTGCATGTTGCAGTGCTCTCTGCATCTATCTATATTGTTGTGTTCAATGCCTCAAACGTGCCTGTGACGTCATTGCCTGTCATCATTACCGGTATCCGTTACGTGTGTGTGTGTGTGTGTGTGTGCGCGCACGTGTGCGTACGTGTGTGTGGAGCTGTGTGTGTGGGTGTTTTGTAGCTAACTACCAGTGTACAGTTCTGATTGTTTCTTGTCTTTCCGTTGCAGTCAAGACAAGTGCTTTCTGTTTGTTTGACGTATTTTCTCTTTGTGGCTTGTGTTCTCACCTATAGGATTCCGAACAGAAGCGATCCCACAACTACTTCTTCTTGGATGACTAAAGCCGTCACAGAAATCGTCAGCCGTGTGTCTGCAAAGTGCAAAGAATGGTGGTGGCTTATCTTCTTTTTATACCCATACTTGGAAGTATCTTTTCTACAGTGGCAGCAATCTGCCACGTGCTTTGCCACTACTGGTATGCTGTGCAATCAGTATCATGCAGCTGCCCATGGAAAGCACTTTGCAGTGCCTCTCTGAACATAACCCAGCGCCTGATCATATCACATGACTGTTGCCATGGCCATGACCAGCCAGCGGTCCTTTTCATACAAATTTAACATTGATCTTGCTAGTAAAAAAAAGAGAAGACATGAAATGAATGGCAACAATCCAATTCGAGTGCTCTGGGAGTTCTTTCTATGACTGAGAGAGGCTAGGGTCAGTAGGGTGGAGTTCCCTTAAAAGTTACGTGTTGGTAAATCGAGGGATAGTAAAAAAAGAACGAGTCGTATTGCTTGCGCTGCTGACCAAGAAGCCCAGCCAAGTAGCTATCGCTCGTGAAAAATGTACTATATTTGACAGAAGATGAACCGAAGAGAAGAAAACGAGTCGGTAGCATACTACTACAGTAGTCTACAGAGGCATATCCATCAAACTCCACCAGATTTCTCCGTACTGAGTACCTACAGATATACCACATGCCTGGCTAGTTTCATTGTCTAGAATTGTGATAAATATGCTGGATCAGATGGCCAACAGTAGCAAGCAGTGGGAAAATAATCAAAGAGATAATTCAACAAAATTCAAGTAAGTTCTCTGCAGCGTAGGTCATGCTCACATGCCATCATACGCTGGCCCTCCGCCACTCTCTGGCACCACCCAGTTGATATTCTGCGATACGTCCTTGATATCACACGTCTTGCAGTGCACACAGTTCTGTGCGTTGATCTGCAGCCGCATGCCTTCGCCAGACTCCTCCGGTACAAACTCATACACTCCGGCCGGACAGAAGCGCGATTCTGGACCAGCAAACTCTGCTAGGTTGCGCTGTACTGGCTTGGCATCATCGGCTAGTGTCAGATGAGGTGGCTGGTCACCTTCATGGTTTGTGCCACTAAGCGCTACAGATGATAGCAAGTCGAATGTAACCTAGAGAGGGAGGAGGAGAGAGAGACATTAATATTAGCACGCAGGCTTCTTGCTCTGCCGCACGAGTAACAAGCACTGGTACAAAAAGTACATGACCAAGAGCGTCCATCGAGCTGTGATGGGTTCACCCACGGCGTAATTTGTTATCGCACCATTCTTTGGCAGAAGTATGATCAAGTGTGTATGCTTTTCCGCGCTTGTTTCGTAGATACGGTGAGAGTTCATCAGGTTCAGGACACACCGATCTATCATCCATTGTTTTGCTTCGAATACCGTAGCTGTGATGTACAACTTCTTCTTACTTTGATCTCTGGCTACATATGATGGCGTCAGTTAGCCAAATAGCCGCCAAAGACTGATGTCAATAAAATGTGAACAGTGCCATTCGGCTGTTCAATAATGCAACAATAGAAGGGGTCACGGGTACTTCAAAGAAGAAGAAGAGAAGGGTACCAGTGTGTCGGCTGGGAGCGCATGGAGGAGAAGAGATATTGTTGCATTAATTAAAGACTGATGCCATAAAAAAATCCACCGTGAGCTGTGGGATCGTCGAGTTGCACACTCTTGGTTATGTACTCTTGCTGGTACTATTAATATACACCTACATCTCCAGGAATGAATTGTTCTGGATGGAGTTGACAGCAGTTCAAGATAGAGTTGACACGCTATGGCTACATGTACATGCACACCCACCCACCCACCCACCCACCCACCCACTGTCATGCTACTCTACACAAATACCAACATACATGTACAGTGCAGTGTGGTCCAGGCTTACCTCTCCATCTGGCTTGGGATACTCAATCTCTTTGCACTGGCTAGCGGGCAGGAGGGACTCGCTATCTTTGCCGTGATGCTTCAGCGTGAACGGCTCCATTCCACGACTGACATACATGAACCCAGAGTAGATCATGCCACCGTACACACCCAGAGAGGTGCTGAAAGACGGACGGAAGTTGCGCACAGCCTTCAGCTCCTTCATGATGTCACTCTCCATCAGTCTCTCGTGATAGTCCAGCACCATACCTTCAAGGAAAACAACAAATAAAAGTTAAAAGCTGTATACTATCCACACAGCAAACCCAGCAAAATACAGCGAGAACAGCAGCACAAGCACAGAGACACAAGATCATAGGCTATCATAGAGAATGTGTCTACCGCTACTTAGCTCCCATTAGGCCAAGTAAAAAAATTGATTGTTGATCATCAGAATTTTCCGAAAAATCGGGGCGGACGGGAGGGTTTTATTTTTATTTTAGGCCATACGTTTTTATTTCTATGTTTCTCGTCACCTGAAAATCTAAAAACGTATGCGAGAGGTGGAAAAAAATAAAAAATGACCGAAAAATAAAAAAGTTTATTAGACCTTTGTTCACACTAAAATCCACCAATACACCATGCAAAATAGCATCCATAGTTAGCAACTAGTATGTGGTAGGAGCTTCTGTCACAATCTGTGCATGTGCAGCTAGATTGCGCACAAAAAATGCCGTCCTTGCATCATGTGTCGCGCATGCCAGGCCACATTATGTACATGTGCATGAGTGTGCTGGTCCCCACATACATGCACAGTCAGTGCAGCACAGTTTTTTTCTTTTTTTCTTCCAGACTCCTGAATCGTATGCGCGCGGGTGACGAGAAACATAGAAATAAAAACGTGTGGCCTTATACAAGAGAGAGTTTGGAAGCTTTGTCACAACTCCGAGTTTCACGTATCTCTACGATCATCAGGCAACTGATGGATCCAAAACGGGCAGCCAGAACATAAGGGGGAGCAAGGTGGGAAATTCCGAGGGGTGTCATAGGCGACGCGTATCATAGCGCAAGAGTCAGGTGCAGGCGTGAAGTTGCCAAGTCTTCAGACTTGGGGCTATGCAGCAGTAGTTCCGGCATGAATGATATAGAATAGAGCTGGGGGCAAATGCCAAATCCACACATGCCCACACCACAACACAAACATACACCCACACTCTCTCCCTTTTCTCACATACACATACACTCACACGCGCGTCCGCACACACATTCTCTAAATCTCTCTCTCTCTCTCACACACACACACACACACATTCATTCTCTATATCTCACACATGCACACGCACACACACATTCATTCTCTATATCACACACACACACACACACACACACACACGCATTCTCCAAATCTCACACACACATTCTCTAAATCTTACATACACACACACACATTCTCCAAATCTCACACAAACATTCTGTCTCTCTCTCTCTCTCTCTCTCTCTCTCTCTCTCTCTCTCTCTCTCTCTCTCTCTCTCTCTCTCACACACACACACACACACGGCCACAATACTCATCCTTTCATTCTCACACCTACCGCACACATACTTGCACCCGCACTTATCCAATCACCCACACGCACTCTCTTTCTCACGAATGCACACAAACACACACACACACACACACACACACACACACACACACACACACACACATGCGCGCACACACACGCACACACGCACACACACACACACACACACACACACACACACACTTGGCAGCGGGACTACCAGCTAGATTCACTTGACCTTGCGCGCAAAGTTACAGAGGTAGAACTTGTTTTCATGACGGCACTTGGACACAAGCTCTGACCTCTTGTTGAGGGAGCGGGTCTTGTTGGCCCAGGCAATCTCCAGCTTCTCGGCCAGACACAGGTTGCAGCGCTTCGAGATGTTAGAGTATGGTGCGGCTCTCCTCACAACGGACCACCTGATACTGTAAGGTTTGTTTTCATCCTTCAGTCTCCAGATGTGTCTGGACAGTCACGTTGAGGTCTCGTGCTTCTTGTGGCGAATAGTATGTTGATGACCATTGAATCGTGTCTTGAATGTCCCTTCCGTTAATCCAGTGTACTCCTTCATGTCGCTGCCGGTTACATGTGCCCTGTACACAATTTTTATTTTATAACTTTTTTATATCTGCATCGACCGGCCATCTTGAAATCTTAGCATGTATTACATCTATGGGGTTATGGGTACTACCAAGAGTGCATAAACAAGAGTATGCAACTGTGGTTATGGGTCAGTGCGCGGCGCGCTGCCTTCATTACGTAACTTGCCTTCATCACGCTCTGAAAGCATGCATTCAAACTCACAATTTCTCGTACGAGCCCATCTGTTTTTGCTCGATTCGTTCCAGTACCTACGCAATCTCTAAATTCTGGCGCTTGAACTCCAGTTCCGTACGAAAGTTCATTTCAAACCAGAGGAAAAGTGCGGTGTTTGATTTTCCGCAGTGTGCGGACTGCAGCTGAATGATGTAATGAAGGCAGCGCGCCGCGCATCTGGCCCATAGAAAAGAGATCACAGTTGCATACTCTTGTTTATGGACTCTTGGTACTACCATTGTTGATTGTGACTGCTATCAGTCTGCCTGGGCACACTCCAAACACTTTGAACATGTGCAGATGACTCTGTGATACAATTACCTGCTGCCATGCGGCGGGCACGCACACACACGACTTTTCTTCACAGTGCGGACCCTTTCAAGCGCATGAGTGCGAGTTCATCGATCAACAACAGCTTCGGACGCGGTATGCGGTGGCTGCGCAGTTTCCATGAATGCCGGCGTAGATATCAGGTGGTACACTGTACAGACTACAGTGCCATGTATTGTAGTTGCCAGATTTCACACAAGTACACTTGAATCACACTGCACTGCGTGATGTCGCTACAGTAAAAGCACCGTTGAAGCCAGGGAGTAGTATTGTACTACTCCCTGGTTGAAGCTGTACATGAGAGCTCGCATAAGCTCGTACTGCTAAAAAAAGTTCGGATTTCGCTAAACACACGAGTTTTCTACCGTTGATCACGAAAATAAAAAATAAAATAAATCCCGGGACGGACCGAAAAATCGGGGCGGGCGCTGACGATCAACAATCAATTATTTTTACTTGGCCTTAGCTCTGTGCGAATCTGCCGGTCCACCACTATGACATCAGTTGCATAACCTCTATAATATATACCATACGCAGTACATGTCAGGAGTGTTGGAACCGGTGAGGCCAAAGCCGCACCAATAGTTTAATCTTGTGATCTGTGAAGCAACTAAATATGGGCTATTTGGGTCCAAGTTTCCAAAAGAATCCCGGGGGAGAGCCGTCGGCCTTTGCAGGGTCACACCAATGCGGTATACCCCACCCCACCCCGCCTTTGCACAGTTGCACCAAAGCGGAATATCTTCTGACACCCCTGCATGTGCATGTGCCCACCTGGCTTGTGCCCATCCTTGAGTGCTTCGAAAGCACTGTCTGCCGCCAGAACACCGCTCTTCATAGCGTTGTGCGTTCCCTTGATCTTAGGTACATTCATCAGACCAGGGCTGCAGCCGAGCAAAGCACCGCCGGGGAATGATGTACGCGGCAGCGACTGTGTGAAAAAGAAAAGCACACAGCATGAATGCACAAGGACACACAGACACACACACAAGCACACACACACACACACAAAACACAGTCATACTTCAGAAGTATTAAACTTACGCAGGGTGAATTACGGATACAGCTTACACAAGCACACACTAAGGCACAAACTCACACGATGTAGACAGTATGAAACCTTTACTGATAAGCTAGTACAAATAACGGAAAACAACTAATAGGTTGTTACCTGGACGCCACCCTCGTTCAGGGCACGGGCTCCATAGCCAATACGCGTACCACCCTCAAATGTAGGTCGAACGGACGGATGTGTCTTGAATTTCTACATACGTAACCAGGAAAAGCAACCACAAATGAGAGAAAGAGTAAGCTATGATTTACACGTAGACAACATGTACACGTACTGCACTGTAGGTGAATACGATTTCCCAAACACAGGTACTTGACCAGGTTGCATTATAGAACGTCGTTGCAGCAAGTGAGTATACTAGACAGATATGAGGACGGTCCCAAGTTACCCCAAACACAGAGTGAGTGGGTCAGCGTGACACAGCGCAGGATTCAACACAGTGTACACACAGACCAGAGTGCGTGAGTGCAGTGCAGTGCGGCTTGAGGCACGGGCATTTACCTGGAACTCTTTGAACGGGTGAAGGAATGGATTCTTGTAGTCCAGCGCAATCTACACCATTGGCACAAGCACAACACAGCATCACAATTACACAAAGTACAGTGAATTGGCTCTGCAGACTCCAGTCTAGGGAGACATTACTACCTACCCCCCCCCCCCCCCCCCCCACACACACACACACACATAATCGATAACTAGATGGACTGTGTGGTGACGCAATCGTGCTGCAGACTTCACTACATTGTGCACATGTCAGGCTGGTAAGCTCAACTATAAGGATAAAGACGATCCAAGGTAAATTCCGACAGTACGGACAGAGCACGTTTGATATGATCTCCGGTTTCACTGAGCTTGACATACATAGTACACAGTGTGACTGCTGCTCACCATCTGGTTATTGTCAGCTTACCAAATCCCTGGGCGCATTGCACACCAAATAGAAGTCAGCTACGCCATGCTAGATGGGTCCAAAAGGAGTGGACAATCATACTTTTCAGGCTATGTTGGAAATGGGACCCACAGACATACGGTCGGATTGGCCAATACTACCAGCCAAGCACACTACACTACTTACAACAAATCCTACGGCAACGAGAGGTGACGATGAGTCACCAAGATGATACAGGAATGATCCTCCATAGGTCTTGGGGTCCTTCAGGGAGAAACAATAATCCAATAGAAACATACTTCGAAGTAGCATAAAACCACTGCCACCACCACCACCACCACCACCACCACCACCACCGCCACCACCAACAACACGTGCTAAAGATCCAGCGCTCGTACATATAGACGGCTTTAGTTGCAGCCAATGTGAAGACCCAGAACTAAGGAAATATCTGACATGAATCCACGCCTACAACTTAAAAAATACGTTCCCTACCAGCTCCAAATCTTGGATCATAGTAAATAAAACAT